TATATATATATATATATATACATATACACATGGGTGTTTGATAATTGTAACACACGAACTCCACAGGGGTTAAGCGAGAGGATCAGAAAAGTTCTCTTCCATTTAACGATAACGCGTCTAGTTCGTTAATAACAACCGCGTAAAGTTTGGCGTTTGTCACGCCCATCGCGGCCTATAGATGCTCCGCAACGAGCTATGTGCATCGAAGCAGAGCGGAACGCGGCTCGTGCTGACCGCCGCAAAGGCGTTTTGACGCTGCCGACGTGTGACGAGGCGACAATGAACGCGCCGCGTTACCGCTCAGCCTCGACGCACACAGTTCGCCGCGGAGCGTCTATAGGCCGCGATGGGCGTGACAAACGCCAAACTTTACGTGGTTGTTACTAACAAGCTAGACGCGTTATCGCTAAATGGGAGAGGACTTTTCTGATCCTCTCGCTTAGCTCTACGCTCTTATGGAGTTGATGTGTTACAATTATCAGATACCCTGTATATACTACGATCAGAAATTCCCGAGTACAGGAAATTCGGAGTACAGGACATGATACTCTATGCTAAAACAACTTTTTCCTTTAGCAAAATTGCATCCGACAAGTAGTTTTTGCAGGAGAGCGTGTTAAAGTTAACGAATATGCGGTCTTGTCTAAGCAGCGCTCAGGACCGATGCGCGCGCCTCACTCGCGTGTATCTAGTCCGTGACTAGTACTCATAAGTAATGTCTTTTAACACGCTCCTACGGCTCTGTTTTGATTAGTTTACAACATTTTAATTTTATTAACTTTTCATTATTTAAGCAACACAATACGGAAGAAAGTTAAATTCTGCTAGTGTTCATAATTGATTTTTATTATTTAAGATTATCTTAAGTACAATCTTAAGACGTTAAATAAAATTTAAGAAATTTCATATTAAAAAAAATTATTATATTTCGCGATTTTAAAAAAGTGCGTTTTTGCAAAAAAAATTGTAACTTTTGTAATTTTTAAGTAAAAATGTAGCATTTTATTGTTGAAATGTTTAAGGAAAAAATGATCTCGTAAATCATCTCTAGAAAAAATATGTTTATTTTGAATACTGAAGTTACAGATAGTAAAATTATTAAGTCTGCCAGAAGCTAACTAACGTTTATTTTGCTAGCAGAGTGGAATCAAAGCATAGTTAAGATTACAATTAGTTAGCGATACTAGTTTCATTTATTGCGGTATTAAAAGGTACAGAGCACTAAATTTTAGTTATGGATGGTAATTACCCAGTATACAGGGTGTCTCACACTCTCCTCCGGGCATTTTGTGGGGACGTAGAACAGGTTGAGGTGAACATAAAATTCCTATACCGTTTTATGATATTCGCAATAATTATCGAGATATTAATCGTAGAAAATTTATGAATAATCATGCAGGATATGGTAAATGGTTATAATAGCGACGACTGCCGTCGTGTACTTATACTATAGGTCAAATTGAACAAAAAAGTCCTCTACCATTTTGCAAATAATCACATAAATTTTTAATTATTAATTAAAGAAGATGAATGCATTATCACGTAAAATCGTACAATAATTTTCTTTAATTAATAATTAAAAATCTATGTGATTATTTGAAAAATTGTAGAGGACTTTTTTGTCCAATTTGATCTAAAGTATAAGTACACGACGGCAGTCGTTGCTACTATAACTCATTTACCATATTCTGCATGATCATTTACAAATATTCTACAATTAATATCTCGATATTTATTGCGAATATCGCAAAACGGTATAGGACTTTTATATTCACCTCAACCTGTTCTACGTCCCCACAAATTCCCGGAGGAAAGTGTGAGACATCCTGTATATGCGAAGGGTTAAATAGAAACCCCCATTTTTTGCATGTCTTGTAGTTTATTACGAGAACTTTTTAAAACATTGTAAGAAAATATTTCATTAAGTACTTTTCGAGTTATAACGCTTGAAAGCTGTAGTATTGTCGGCATTAGCGTTACTCAAGATGTACCATGTGGAGGTTGCTCGATCGGATTTACACTTCTTTCGTATGTGTGTGTGTGTGTGTGTGTGTGTGTGTGTGTGTGTGTGTGTGTGTGTGTGTGTGTGTGTGTGCGTGCGTACGTGTGTGGATGGATGTGACAGGTATGATGTGACAGTCCTTGTCTGTTCTGTAACTTACCATCGTAACTAAACATCCATCCAATCACCCATGCATCCATCCATGCCTACGCACGTATACACACGTTTGTTAACCTGGCATCCTCACTAAAAATGAAATTTGATCCTATCAAATAATTAAGTGCTAATATAATAATTAGTTACTAATTAGTTGCTATAATCCCGAATTTATTGCTCCCACCCCTTCGCTGGAAATTAATTTTAAATGCTCTGAATTAATTGCTCTCGAAATATACCAAATACGAATTTGTTGCTCGACTCCTAATGCAAAAAGATTATTTTGATATCACATTTGTACGAGCAATTAATTTTTCTAATGTTCTTTACTCTTGTACAACGGCTACTGGCAAGCCAGCACCACCGCGTATTTTGGAGCAATTAATTAGCAATTAAATCTGACATATTGCTTTTTTAAATTAGAATGTTCTACGTGTTAATTTCACAAGTGAGGGTACTAGTGTAAAGTTAAGTCAGCACCCCTAAATTTAAAATTAATTTCCAGCGAATGGATGGGAGCAATAAATTCGGGACTATAGCAACTAATTAGCACTTAATTATTTGATAGTACCGAATTTAATTTTGATGCCAGGTTAACGGACGTAAAGAAAAGCGCTGGAGCAGCTGAAGTCGTTTGAAGTTTAGCGCGGTTTAGTTGGTCAAGAAACGGATGGCCGCGCGCGGTGAGGGGAAATACTACTGCCTGTGCTTATATCGCTACGCTTCTCGCTGCACCGCGCCGACTTTTTGCACGTAGTATACTCGGCAATAAATCCTAAAATCTATTTTGGTAGTGTTTCATGTGCTAATATCATGAATAATTTTTCTTACACACATAGCTTTGCACAATTATAGTCTTATTATTCTAATGATATATTTTTACGACGAAAAGTGTACGAAGTATATTTGTCAAATATAATTTCACAATATCTAAAGTTCCAATACATGATATACTTGCTTAATTTGTACGTACTTTACCACATCCTGGAGGTTAAACATGGAACTATCCTCGCTCCGCCACCCACCAATATTGACTCTATATTTTTGAGGTGTTAATTTTGGTAGAGGTACCCAGTTCCTGAAATAAATAAATAAATAAATAAATAAATAAATAAATAAATATATATATATATATATATATATATATATATATATATATATATATGGATAATGAAACATCTGTAATAACATATATAGAATATATTTTTTAATGGAAATAGTTGTATGTCTCCTAAACTTGATGTTGTATAAAATAAATCTCTAATAAAAGTTATTGAGATTTAAAAGAGTTATATAATACAAAGTGCTATAAGCACAATATATAATACTATTTATTTATCTGTCAATATTGTATTAAATTATAGATATCAGAATAAGGCAATACATTTTAATAATGTATTATTTATACCTACGTGCTTTTGTGAAACCGAGCAATAGAGTCACTAAGCGGGTCATAATCCGAAAAGAACTCAGGAATCAAATTATGAAGAGTGTACAGTGAATCCAAACGTTTCTTCGCTTTCTCCAAATCGAATTTTGAACATAAAAGAGTGCACTGTAATCGTCGATCAGTGATCTCTGTGCAAAAACATATAATTATACATTATTATTATGTTAGGACATATTAGGACTGCTGCCTCAATCCATTTTTCGAATATACGTTTAAGTGTTTAACGTATATCCGTTTAGAAACATCTGATGGAAACCGTTTTTAAACAACTAAAGGTTTAATCGTTTAAATTGATCCTGCAATAGATATTATGTAAAGTATAATCAGTAATATTCACTGAGAAATGTTACACTTAATAGTCCAGTTAAAAGCATGATACTGCAATTAGTAAATACTACGATTATCTTGCTGAAAGAATTAGTTGATTGTAGTGACTGTTTCTACTATTAATGCGTAATAATATCACATGAAAACCAGTAAATCCATTGCTATATAGACGTATAAAGCTGTATTTAACAAAGTATATAACAAATGTATAGATTTTGCAAAACATTTTTACTTCTACTGCAAATCAAAATCAAATCTCTTGCCTCCAACTTACTGCCTCCGGTACGCTTATTGGCTCGGACGTTTTTATTAATAACTCAATGACTATTGCAAGTTTCGAAAAAATGATATCTGAAATATATTGTCAAGGACACTGCCCTGAGTATCTTAGAGAAGATTAGAGTTAGTGCATATTATTCGTTAAAAAGTTATTAATAATATTAATTTAGTAAAAGAAATATAATATAAAGAAATAAATTATATATATATATATATATATATATATATATATATATATAT